GTCTTTATTTTACAGTTAAAACATGTTTATTAATTAAAGTCTAATGTTACAACTACAGTGGTTTGCAAAAGTATTCATACCCCTTGAACTTTTCCATATTTTGTCACATTACAACCACAAACATAAATATATCCTTTTGAGTCATTAGCAGTCATCAGGCAACTTCTGAATGCAATTGGTTGCACTCAGGGAAAAGGGGGCTGAATACTTTTGCACGTCGCACTCCGTCGTCGAGGGTGTGTAGTTCTATTTTCTTATCTAATCTACATGTCCTGGTGTGACAGGTTAAAAATTAAAATAATTCGAAACCATATACACTGTATAAAACAGTAAAAATCTCAGTAAGCTGGTTAAAAAACATCCTACAGGTCAGGAGGGAGACCTGACTGGCACCCAACTTAATTATTCAAAATAAATAACAATAAAACAGCAATAAACCGTCACAAACTGTTTTATTTTCTAAGCACGAACAAAAAGGTGAAAATGACAGTAACACAGCAGAGTGGGCCTGTAACAGCTTCAGCTCACACTTTCTTCTCCTCAGGCTCATCATTTAGCAGGAAGCTGATGTGTGTCCAGATACACCACGTCTGTAGAGACACAGTTCACAGGATCAGCAGGTGCTGCTGACTTATAAAGACTTTTACAGTAATTTAACCTAACATTTCTTCTGATGGACTGTATGTAGATCTTGCACCAGCTCTCATGCTGTAATATTAGATTCAGATGATTTCATGATGTGGTTTTAGTCCGTTTGGTCAAACCTTTACATTTGACGACCTAATCATTCCTTTTTCTGATTTATATCCAAAGACAGGTTGTTTTGTCTTTAGTAGGGGGGTGACGATGACCCCGACATGTTGAGTGATGGAGCAGAAGCTCCTGCAGTACCTCAGCTGACAGAGCCAACAGACGCCCTGCAGCCAGCAGCACTGTTCCCACAGCCTGGGTCCAAGGGTGCAGGTCCAGGTGGTCCGACAGAACCCCGCTCCGGTGCGCGTACAGCCACAGGGGGAGGCAGTGCAGCCCACTCACCACCCACACACCCAGAGGGGTCCGGAACCCTGACAGCACAGACAGTTATTTACCTCACACAGCACCAGGAGCACCAGGAGCACCAGGAGCACACTGCTCACCGTTCGCCATGATGGCCCGGATCAGACGAGGACTGTTGTTGAAGCTGCTCTTCCACTGCTCTCCTCTGGTGTGGTGGTTACACACAAACACACACCACTCCACTGAGGACACCAGCCAACCCCACTGAAACACACACATTCGTGTCACGCTGCTTTGACAGAAATGACCAAACTGTCAACCATCAGCAGACCGTGGAGAACGGGCAGGTATGTCAGCTCATATTAGGGCAGGGCGGTTTGACCTCAAATCCATATCACAGTATAAATTGAACCCCTTCACGGTAACGGTATATATCGCGGTAGAAAATTATCATAAAACGCAAAGATAATGTAATTTTTAGAGCTTTTTTTTTCTTCAGAAAACTGTAATCTTAATTAAACCCAACATTTTTGTTTTAATATCTGCCTGCTGAACTTATCAGGTGCTGCTCTGCTGCGCACTCATCTTCATCATCTTCATCATCAAAGCAGAAGCCGACTTTACATTAGCAAGATGATTTATGACTGAACGAACTTACACGTCTTTTTTAAAATAATCTCTGTGGGTGGATACATAAAAAACACTTTTTTTCTCCAACAATTGGGTGTGAAAAACTACGGTAGTTAAAGCTTCGCTCTGCATGACGTGCAGCGAGAGGAGAGGAGAGGAGGAAATGATCCAACGACATGACGTAACTTTTCTACAGAGGGAGGATATTTTGAGGATTTATTCTCTCTATGTGTTTTAAAACGCTTTAATTTCTTCATTATATTTCAAACTCCTGCTCAGTTGTCTCTGCACTCTCAGCCCTGTTGACACTGGTGTGATGATGTAATGATGATAGGACGTAGAGGGTAAATTTCTACCGTAGGCCAACTTTGTACAGTTTCTACCATCTACCGCATATACAGTGCAGCCCTGTTTCTCAATATATAAAAT